TTTGAAGCTAAAAAGGGACTAAAATAGGTAACTATACGCCATTGAAGAGAACTCTAGATTTTTAGCTTGTTTTGGAGGCAGTCAATCACTGGACACAGAGACACCTTGCTTTGTTTTCAAGGTAAAGTATTTCTATCGATTCACCAAATGCTTACTTCACACAGAGTCATTGATGATTCAAAGTGTTTTTTGTTTTTTTTTTGGATTTGTTGAAGAATGAAGAAGATACCAATGAATGAAAAGATTTTCAAAAAATAGATCTTTTTTTTCCCCTTTCTTTCTGCAGTCAGGTGGGGGACTCAGGTTTCCTAGTTTGAAACCCCACACACACCATTCATCTCTCTCCTCCAAATATGATAACTGTGTTAGAAATGGGAAGTCCCTCTTTGATGAAAATTTCTCAATGTGTTGTTGGTTTTTGGAAGAATGCTTCAGATTTGTAGTTGCTTGGTTAAAGGGATTTGCTTAAATGTTACAATTTGAAGGAGGATTGTCGAGTGGTCATTGATTTTGGGTTGAAGAAAGTTGGAACAGCTCTCAAATGCACGTGTTCTTCAGAGAGAAAGCTGCAACAGTGGTGCATTTGCTCTTGCCGGTTGACTGGCCGGACGTCCGGCCGGTGATTTGATGTTGGCACCGTTGGAGTGACTGACTGATATCAGATAAAGGATTTCGTACTTTTTTTACTCAAATTTGATGAATTATTTAGTTAACCGTTAGAGATGCTCTTGGGAATGAGTTTTTTAATCTATTTATATATTATATAGGGAGAAAGGAATTTTAAGGAGAAGAAGTTCCAAACTTATTCTAAAATTGTTGATCTTTCAATTTATAAAATAGATTAAAAAAAATCTATTGGTTGATTTATTTATTTAATTATTTTAGAAATAATAATTATTCATTAATTTATAGTATTTCAAATGAGAAGATAATAAAAAATTTCAAATCTCTCCATCATAATCTGCTCACCAAATTTCAAAAAACAAATAGTAAAACTTGCATTCCTTTTTATCTCTGCTGAAAAATAAATAAATTTTTATGAAGTTGTGGATATCTATCTATATCTTATATATTATATTATAACATAACAAAAAAAAATTAAAAATCAAATATACCTGATAAAATTAATAAATCTGATTTTTATTTATTCATTTAAAATATTTCTTTTGCCTTTCAATATCTAATTTTAAATTTTAAAAATCTTTAAAGTCTATTTAAATAAATCTGATTTGAAAATATCTCTCACTATCATATTTTAAATCAATAAAACTCACATATCTATCATATATTTAACTCGCATCATAACTTATCTAAATAATAATAATTAAAAATAAATATAAATCATAGATAAATTAAATTTTAAAAAAATAGAAACCCATAAGTTCATCTAAAATAAATTGAAAAAATAAATAAATAGAAACCACGTAAAAACAAAAAACATAAGATTTTAAATATAGATCTAAAAAAGATATAACAATATCTAAATTTGAATTATCATTTAGTAATATAATTATCTATTTTTTTTATGTATATCTATCAAAATTTTAAATCACTTAATGGGGCAAATTAATTAATTTTCTAAAATTATTGATTTTTCAATTTATAAAATAGATTAAAAAAATTATTGATTGATTTATTTGTTTAATTATTTTAGAAATAATAAGTATCCTTTAATTTATGAACTTCAAATAGAAAGATAACAAAAATATTTCATAATCTCTCCATCCTAATTTTTCACCGATTTCTAAAAAAAAATAAATATTAAAACTTGTTTTCCTTTTCTCTTCTCAAAAAAATCAAATAATATTTTTATGAAAATTGTGGATATCTATCTATATCTTATATATTATATGATAACATAACAAAAAAAAAACTAAAAATTAGATATGCAAACAAATAAAATTAATAAATTTGATGTTTATTTATTCAATTAAAATCTTTATTTTACATCTCAATATCCAATTTTAAATTTGAAAAATCTTTAAAGTTTATCTAAACAAATCTAATTTGAAAATATCTTCCATCATCATACTTTAAATCAATAAAACTCACATGACTATCACATATCTAACTCACATCATAACTCACATAAATAATAATAATAATTAAAAACAAATAGAAACCATAGATAAATTAAATTAAAAAAATATATAAAGAAACACACAACTCCATCTTAAATAAATTGAAGGGGGGAAAAAACAAAAACCACACAAAAATAAATAAAAAAAAAAGATAAGAATTTAGGTATGGATCTAAAAAAATTATGAAAATATCTAAATTTGAATTATGATTTAGTAATATAATTATCTATTTTTCTAATGTATATCTATCAAAATTTTAAATCATTTGATGGGATCAATTTTCAAGTCTTATTTAAAAAATAATCTGGTTAGTCATCGTAGTTCTTAAACTTCGCAGGTGCTGTCGAACGAGCTAACGGATTGGGTTATGTGAGGTCTATGTTGTTGGAGATAACATTCTCCCACTCTATAAATTTATTTGTTTTTTTCCTATGTGATTCTATTTCTCTGTTATTGGATTGGTTTTGGTTTCGGTTTTAGTGAGATTTATGTATTTGTTTATGGGTTTGCATGGTGGAGAAGAATTATTAGTGATTATGGTTGCAATTGAAGTATCTATGTCCATTTTGTGCTAAAGATTTTGATCGGATTTTGTTTTCTTCAATGAAGACCATAAAATTGAAGTAAAAAAAAATGAGTACCAAATTTTTATTTTTTATTGTCATTTTATTTTAGAGAAAATGTAAAAATTCATTGAGAATTCAAGATTTTATTATAATATTAGATTTTTGTATAATTAGGTAAATTTAAACTTTTAAAAATCATTGTATTCTTTGTTTTTATTCTCTTTATATCCCATTATACCATTACTGCTATTTGTTAGTTTGTCAATTATAATTCAATTAATTGAAAATGAAAGCTTAATATAACTTTTCATATATATTATACTTAATTTGTTACAACTATAGTTGTATACAATAGCATATTATATAGAGATAATCTCTAAATATAATTTATATTTTTTTATGTGATTAAATAGTCCATCTTAAATAATACATAGAAGAGTTAGATGGTTTTTTTTATTTCTAAAAAAGTCAATCTATTTTTTTTTTTACTTTTTAATTTTTTAAATTGAAACATCAATTGTTTATGTCCATAAAATAAAATTGATAAACACACATCCAAAAACTATACCATTTTTTTCTTTTTTTAATATGTATGATATTTACAAATAGAAAATGTTTGATACCTCAAATTTTTTCCATAACCTGACTTATAATGATGTAATCATAAGTGTCAATTTTTATACAAATATGAGAAGAGAATTAATTAAATTATACATTTTAACGAATCACATACAAACTTTGACTATTTTAAGATGTTAATTCACTATAATTCCAATTAAGAGAATCTTTAACCCTTAATATTTTTTTTTATCAAATTATAAAAAAATTAAAACGATGAAACGTTGAAAATTATTGTTTTTTCCATCAAAATTAGTGAAAAGAAAAAAAAAATGGAATAACAATGAAAGTTCTTTTAAAAATTGATAAAAATTTAATGAAAAAGTTAAAGTAATTCATATCAAATCAAATTCTTTATTTAAATTTAAAATCAAATTAGATAATAAAAAAAATTAGAAGAAAATGACGAAAGTTTGAAAAATATTTTGAAACTTTCTTATTCTTAAAGATTAGAAATCCGTATGTGTAATATATTCATATTGTATTTTTAGTTATAAAATTGAATTCAAAAGAAATATAACTTACATCATTAGATTAATAATAGAAATATCATATTAATTATTGTTAAATATCACTTAACTTCACGTCTAATAATAAAATTATATATTTGTCTTAATTATAACTTTTAACTTTAAATATTTTCATAACAAGAAGAGGTTTGCCATAACTCATTTAATCTCATTTAATCATGTTTAACTTTTTTTAATACAAATTATCAAAATTACACTAAATAGATTTATATATATATATATATTAATTTTTTTGATAATTTAAAAAGTTATAAACATAAAAGCTGACTTATAAATTTCATGTTTACCATAAGACAAAATATTAAATTACTTCAAAATAATTATAATAATTTTTTTAAAAAAAATTATAAGGCATTGTTTGGTAGAGTTTTCTAAAATTAATTTCATCCTAACATTCTAACGCTATGTTTGGTTTGAGTTTTCAAATCATGATTCCAAATCAATTTTAAAATACATTTTGAAAACATATTTGGTAAAACTGACAATTTTTAAATTTTTGATCCACTTGGTCGTTCGCCTGGACATCCGTGATCGGATCATTACTCTTTTTCTTTTTCCTTTTTTTTTTTGTTTTTTGTTTTTTTTGCAATTGCTAATCGCCACCTATTATTTGGAGAAGAAAAATTATATTTGTTTTTGATATTTTTAAATATAGAAATTATTTTTTTAAACCAAAATGACAAATTATCTTTTTGAATTGAATTTTAAAAAAAGGTTGATTATGGGTTTTGAATAGAATTTTCAATAAAGTTTTGAGTTATGTGTTTGGTTATGAATTATAAGTTTTTCAATTAACTCATTCGGGAACAGACTAATTTAGTAACTTTTTGGCTATTTAGCTAAAATATGAGCTAAAAAAAACTAACATATTTGGAATGACTTTTTGGCTTTTTACGAAAAGATGTGCAAAAAGTAAAGAGAAAAGAGAATCTTTGACTTTTTTGTATGGATTGTTGGCTTTTTGACTTTTTTAATAACTTTTTGATTTTTTAGCTAAATGGGCTGGTTCCCAAGTTTTGAAAACTTTTAACCAAACAACTTTTTTCATTTCATTTGTCACATCAAAAATTCAAAACTCATAACCAAAGCATATCTAAACCATCCTCTATTTCCCGTTTTGTATAACTCTGAACACCTTCAGGTGAATCCATAATAAGGGAAGGCCCTCAAAACATAGATTTCTCTTCAGTCTATGTGCTCAAAAAATGCAGACTAATATTCATGATAGATTTAAAAGCAAATCATCCTGAAACCAGACATAGAAAGATATGAGAGTCACAATACAAATCAAATTAGTTTTTTTTTTTTTTTGGCCGAACAAATAAAAAAAAAATCAGAGAAGGCACATTTAATAAAATTATTAAGAGAGAAAAATTCATCATTCCAAACAGGTAGAAGAAAAAGGCAACTACCCAGTAACTTATGTTGATAAAATCAAAACACTATCACTTGGTGACAATCTAAAACCAACCCCACACTGGTAGTGATGTGATGCAGCAACTGTGGTTCGGTTGTACAAGACATATCCACTTTGGAAGCCTAAAATCAAGCCTATGGCATCTACACCTTGCAAGAAGACCCTTTTTTTGGTAAGGGAAGTGTTTTTAGAGTGGTTGATTTCTTTATATTTTATGTCTTTAGATTCAAGGGCATTTTGATAATTTTTACAATTGTCGGACATGGGTTATCGCTTGGCCCACATGCTATAATTTTGGCCATGCTATGTTTTTGGGTCATTCTCATGGCTTTCTTAGCAAGTACACAACAATCTAATTAGCAAAGATTTTTTAGTTTCCTAATTTGAGTCAAAGTCATTGTAGAAATAAGATAACCACAATAACCAATAAAAATCTATTTTGTTCTATTCAATAGAAGAAATTTGCTTAGCCCTTGCGAGGGTAGTCCCTTTCCCTTCTTCCCTTTCTTCTTTTCTGTGCAAACTACCAAGACACTGTTCTTGGGTTACTATTTACAACCCAGAACTACCTTAATTTCAAAACTCTCCCAAATCAAAGTGTAACTAAGCCCAAATCCTCCCCTAGCTCTTGGACCCCACTTTAACGAACAATCCCGTAAAATAGCTATGTTGAACCCTTTATTTGCGCCAATTCTGAAAATTAAGCAATCTGCAATTTTCAAGATTGAATCATTTTAAAATTTTCCACCTCTATAAACCATTGAAGATTCCTTCAACCAATTAAAACCCTATCTTTTGAAGCTTTTCTAACCATAAACCCACCACAAATCTCACTGTCGGCAGCCTTAGACCCTAGATTTCTAATCTATTGTGCATCATGATGGCTCCTACTTTCTTTAACAATCCAATTCCAACTTATAACATCTAATAAGACACAATGGTATCATTTAATTTGCATGGGTCATCCAAGCATCCCTAAGTTTTATATTTGTTACAAACAAACCAAGGGAAAATAAATAAATAAAAAAGAGGAGAAGAAAAGATCTATATTTTTGGTCTTAAAATTTCTACCAATTATCCATAGAAAAGAAAACTCCACATGCAAATAATTATCAATTATCACAATTTTATAATTTATTACTCACTTAACTTTTAAGAAAAATCATTGGTTGGGTTTAAAGTCTTTAAACAGAGGATACATGTGTCCATTGTAAGCTCTTACTCAATATGTAATCAAAGAACAGCAATTTTGCTGAAAATATTCAGCCCCGAAGAAGTTATACTTCCTAATTCAAAGTGAAAACAAATCTAGACAAAGGCACAAATCTCTAGATCCAAACTATTTTAAAACACAATGTTCAGTATCACGTAAATATCACACCATCACAAAGAAAACACTGCAAAGATTGTCTGGTTACAAAAATACCAGAACAGCTAACTATCAAACCAGTGTAGAAATCTCAAAAGTAAGTGCAATTACCATTTATCTCCAAATTTAAAATAAAAAAATAAAAAATTATGTCAGTTATAGCAAACATAAAGAGAGAAAAATACAGAAAGAAGACATTTTTGATGAACAGAAAATTAACAAACCAAGTTCATATAAGCAATAGAACATTTTCATCACACAAAACCACCAATAACGATGTGTATGAGAAGTAATAGCAAGCCCTAGAGAGATCAACGCTGCTAAAACCAATAGAAATTGTTCAATTTAGGGTTTAGTTTTAGGGGTTCTGAACCCCCAAGAGGGGAGGGAGAGAGAGAGAGAGAGAGAGAGACAATAAATCATTAGGAAAAATATTCTCGTATTAGTAAAATTTAATTTGTCAATTGATAGAGTATGATAAATTTAAGTTGATCGTAAAATGTAAAGGTATTTTTAAATTTAACTTTATTTTTAAGTTAAGTTAGATTTATGTCAATCAACATAAATTGAAGAGTTACTTGACCAATTTGTTTATGTAAAAATTTATTAAATTGGTAAACATATATCATTAGTAAAAAAATTTCATAATAAAATGTACATATTTATGCGTATTTAATAGTTTTGAAAAAATAGATTAAATGTAATCTTTTTATAGTGCTGTAATTATGGCCATAACTTCACTTTAATCTAGACAACTGTTGATATTTTTAAACAAAATTAAACAAAAATCAATTCAAACAAAATTAAACAGATATTTATTTACTTATGTAAATAGTTTTTGAATTTATTTTTGTTTAAACAGAGCTTGGATTGCGGCAGCAAGCGTAGGAGCTGTGGAGGCTTTGAAAGATCAGGGGATCTGCAGGTGGAACTACACCATCGGATCAATTCACAACCATGCCAAGACCAATCTCGGGTCTTTCTCTCAGCGAAATAAGCTGTCTTTATCGTCTTCGGCCAAGGTTGCGAGCACGGCGATGAGGAGGGAAGAGAGGGCGAAGCAACAACAATCGGAGGAGTCTCTCAGGAAAGTCATGTACTTGATCTGTTGGGGTCCCAATTGATCATTCAACCCCAACCCCATATCTGAATGTGGCAAAACAGAGGCTCAAATGTAAATATACAGAATAGAAAGTTTTGATTTAATTATAAGAGAAATGTTGTCTCCTCTTTAATTTGGGATATTATAGTTCGCAATGAAGGCAAATTGCACTCTACTACACTCTTAACTTCCCCTTGTCATTTGTTCTTCTTCGCTAAAAATGATTACATTTTATTCCATTAATCTTCTAATTTGTTTCAAACTCGAACATTCTATTTACATTATTAACATTCTCTTATAATAGTAATCAAAAAACATGGCACCTTAATTTTTCATAATAATTTTATTATCAAATTGTTAATTTATGAATTGTATGGTTTGAGAAGATAGGTGGATTGAAATGGGTGAATTGGATCATAAAAATTAACAGATTGATTGACTTGTGTGGATAAGAATTTGTCTACCACTTTACACTTTTTTTTTTTTTTTTTTTAATCAGAAGAAATATGTCATTTAAGAAAGCCAAACGGCACTTACAAGAGTCCAAACAACCCAAAACTTACACCAAACAAAGTGAAAATAAAGGAATAAGCAATAAGCACTAAGGAAGAAAACTATGAAAATTTGATCAAATGATTACGTAAAAATTTGTTTTCCCCTTTGCCCTTTTTTTTTTTTTTTTTTTTTTTTTTTTTTTAATCAGAAGAAATATGTCATTTAAGAAAGCCAAACGGCACTTACAAGAGTCCAAACAACCCAAAACTTACATCAACTAAAGTGAAAATAAAGCAATAAGCACTAAGGAAGAAAACTATGAAAATTTGATCAAATGATTACCCATTGCACACAATTTGATCAAATGAATTTGTCTACCACTTTACACTTGTGCACACAATTTCTCTCTAATCTTTGTATCATTGATCAAATGATTACCTCCACCCTACATTTTGTTGGAAAATTTGAATTAAAATTTACTCCAATGGTTGTGTCTTTTGAGTTGGAAATGTATGTTCTTTTGAAGGGTCACAACCTTTCCAAAGAGTCTCATAGGAGTCTATAAATTCCATCTCCCTCACTTTAATTAAAGAAAGATTTAGTCATTTTCTTCTTTATCTTTGCATTGATCTTCATATTTTCTTGAGTCTAATTTTTCTATAAAGAGAGTACATGCACAACAAAGTTGCGAGCTGACTGGGCAGCTCGATCCCCGACCGGCCCAGTCGAAGTGGCAAAACATGAAAGAAGGATCGAAACCGGGATCACTATAGTAGTGCTGCTAGTGCAAGACATTGATCATTGTATCCTGGGAGATAGACATACATTGAACCCTAAGCACCAGTGGAAGGACGAATCTGTCTTAAGAAAAGAGTGTCTCACACTCGACTCGATCAGGTTTTATCTATTTATGTGCTATAAGTTTTGTTACGTTATTTTGTCAATTTATTTCAGTTTTGGTTTTGGCCAAAAACCGTTTACATATTTTTAAATTATATTTTCCATATAGTTTGGTACTATTTTTCTAGCAATCCTAAGACAGATCCCTGATCATGTATAAAGGGTTCTAATAACAAGGACACCACAGGAATTTCACCTATGTGAACATAAGAAGCGTAGCCATTTCTAGCAAATGTTTACGATTTGTTTTTGTAAATTGTTCATGAAGGCCAGGATTGTGCACATGGATGTAAAAGTGCAATTAACTATACTGGTGAACTTTCACTGAAATTGGATGTTCTCTTGTGTGTGGTTTTTTTGGTACCAATAAATATGATTCTTGATTTAATCTTCGAACACCAAAGAATTCTTTGGGAATTTGAATTGCTTACACTATTTGAAGGTTTATATTGAGAGATACCTGTATGCATGAGAATATCAGTATTTATATATGATCAAGATCATATGGTGATACACTGGATTATAACTCTTTAAGTGGTTATTACTAATAGTTGCAGGCAGTTACTAATAGAAATTCAAGTTATAAAGGCACCATTTCAAGTTGAAAGACATGTTTTCAGAATTTTCAAAATCTGAAAATTCAGACTAAGGGTTGTGTTCTCTCATAAAGCTGCCTTTAGTACTTTTGATTATCTAAAAGGACTCCAGATTTCTCCTTGTTTTCTTTTGTTATTATTTTTTCATAGCGGCAAACTCTTTTGAGTGAGAGCAATTATCGCCTTAAAGAAAGTGTCCGCAACACACCTCAAAGTCGCATTTTGCTTGATTCTATTTTTCTTTTGACTTGCTGCTCTAACAATTTTAAGGTGATAATTCGATCAGTTTTGATATGGCGGCTTTTAAGGTGATGAATCAAGAGTTCGTGAAACTGGACAAGTTTGATGGAACACATTTTACTGGTTTCCAAGACAAGTTGATGTTCCTTTTCACAGTGTAGAAAATTTCTTATGTTCTTGGTCCAAAGCTATCAACACTACCGACCTAAAACCCAATGATTCCGATGTAATAAAAGTAGAGTGTAAGAAACGTGTGTAGAGGGCATATTCTAAACACATTATCAAATCGAATCTATGATCTATTCACCTCGATCAGGTCACCAAGAGAAATATGGAAAGCATTGGAATTCAAATACAATATCAAAAACAAGGTGCAGATAAATTTTTAATTATGAAATATTTTGAATTTACTATGGTTGATAATATTTATGTTATGGATCCAGTTCATGAGTTGCAAGTTCTGGTTAATAAACTTCAAGATCGTAAGGTTGAAGTTTCAGAACCATTGCAAGTGGGAGCTACAATTGCTAAACTGCCTCCTAGTTAGAATAATTGTAGAAAGAAACTTATGCATACAACAGAGGATTTCACTACAAAAAAGATTCAAAAACATTTACGAATTGAAGAGGAAACTCAAATTCGTAATAGGAAAATTGTTTCATAATCTAGTTCTAAAGTAAACTTTGTTGATGGAAATGATAAGTTTCAAAAGAATGCTAGAGGTAGCAAGAGGAAGTACAATGAGTATAATTATAATAGCAATCTGATGAAGATGATTGACGATGAGAATAAGGATGGGACGCCCGCGTATTCACTTGGACTCGACGGAGGTCCAATTACGAGTTTCGGAACGCCGACTCGGAGATTGAGTCCATCGCTTCTATGTCTCTCTTCATTACATTTTGCATGCTGTAATTGGTTCAGTTTTTGTTTTTGGCCGGTCAATGTACTTAAAGACAACGATGCACTGTTTAGCCAGTGATGTGATAATGCCTTTGAATCCGTCGTTGGAAACGGAGAAACCAATCGGCATGATGGTGTTCCATACACAATTCTGGAATTTTTATTTGTTTTTTGATTTTCAGTTCTAGAATTGTTTTTAACAATTTTTAACTTATGTGTTTTGAAATAAGAGGAATTCTAATCATTCTTTGGAATAATGACTAAAATTGGTGTGGTAACCGATAACTCCGTAATGAAATATTACATGAGTTAAAATATTTCATGGGTAAAAGACACTTTGGTAATTGTCGACATAGTCACCAATATTGGATAAGACAAATAAGATGTAAATGTATTTATACAGTGATATTTATATTCCATGTTGAGATTGGAATTAAGGGCTACAGTAAATGAAAAGAAATTAATCATGGCTGAAGAAATGTTATTTGACAAAGTGTTGTGGCCACAATCGGCATTAGTCATTTCTTCTTTGTACTGCAAAAGCAAGTTATAAAGTCTAATTGTATTTTAGACAAATTAGTATTGTGATTATATTTACAAAGCAATTTACATCTTGTTATTTAGTTCAAGCACGCCAATTAATGATATATTCTGATTTATCTCAGAATTGTCGGGGTGCATTAATATTTTTGTGTAATTATACACCAACAAGAGAAATTAAGTTTCCTTAGATTGCTTAAAATGTGAGGGTGCTTGGAGGATTTTACTAAAGTAACGGTTCTGATTGTAGGTCCACAATGAATCTTAATTCTTTTTATAGGACAGAGTTGGAGTAGAAGCAAAAATGATTTCATTAACTCCTAAGAAACATCTTTATGTTTATTATTTAAATTTGAAAATAGGAGTGACATAGAGTAACGGTAAGTCTCGAAGTAATCAAAAACTTAATACCGTAAGACATTAGCTTTCAGTTGTGCATATTGTCTAAGGATAATATAGTGGATCCACGAATTACTCAATGATATATAACTGAGAAAGTCAAAAGAAAAATAGCGGCTGCTAAACAAAAGATTTGACTAGAGAGGAAATGAGGAAAAGTTCATCGAAAGAAATGTGATTAAAACCTATTACATCAGAGTCATCATAATGGTAACCCTACTTAGATGACTGGA